TAACAATGTGGCATAAGTAGTTGTTTTCAGGAAAAAAATTAATAAAGCCTTGTGCTGTGCTTTGTTCCAACAAAGCACCCTGTATTATTTAAAAATGGCAATTTTTTAGAAAAGTTTTATAATATTTCAAGAGTCTAAAAATAGCGTAAAAATGTGGTGTGGTTGTTTTTAGAAATGCTTTAAAAAGCTGTGGTGCTTTGCTGACTTTGTTTCAATAAAGCACCCTGTATTATTTATAAATAGCAATATTTTAGTAAAGTTTTATAATATTTCAAGAGCCTAAAAATGCGGTGTGGTTGTTTTTAGAAGAAAGCTTTAAAAACAGAGGTGCTCTGCTGGCTTTTTTCGAAGCTAGCAAAGCACCCTGTATTTTTTAAAAATAACATTTTTTTTCGAAAAGTTTTATATTTTAAGAGCATTAAAATAGCCTAAAAATATTTATGGTGTCGTTGTTTTTGGAAGAAAAAACTTAAAAAAAAACTGAGGTGCTCTACTGACTTCATTCGAAGCACCTTGATTTTTGCAAAATACGAGGAGCATAAAATTTTTGAATAGGGTATACAAATAGCCTTAAAATAGCCTAAAAATATGGCATAGGTTTCATCTCACAATCGCCTAGGTGCTCTGCTGCCTTCTTTGACATTATAACATTAAGCTAAATATCTCCATATTGCACTTGCAACAAAATAAAGTTAGTAATAATAAAATCTTTTTATTTATTCTAGTTTATTTTTGATTTAGTTAACACAATATTATGTAGTACTTTAAATTACTAAAAAAACATAATAAATAAATTAGTTTGAATCCAATCAGAGTCCACCTTCTATTAAGTGTTCTCCTAGTTTCATTTACTACCAAGACGTTAAGAAGATTAAAAACAAAGCTAAGTAAATTTATTTCTGATGTAGCAATTGTCTCCCACGAAATCATTGTTTCACTGAAACTTGTCTGACAGAAGACTTTAATGATACTGAACTTACATTTGAAAATTTCAACGTTTACTTCAAGGACAGATATGCACAAACCAGCTCATCTTCCAGGTGGAGTTCTTATAGCAGTTTCCAAATCTAGGTGCTGCTTACTTTCCTCCAATGTTACCAAATGATAAATATGTCTCATTCACTAAAAATAATTTGTCAGAAACGTATCCTCATGCACAATTTTGCATTTTGGGCGACTTTAATTTACCTAAGGCCATATGGACCTCAAATAATCTATGTTCAAAGGCTTTTTCTTTTTCCTCTTTCTCTGGATATGGAACTAGAGCTAAAGAAACTTTTGCGATAAATACTATTTCCAATATGTGTGTTTTCCACAATTTATTTCAGAATAATGCAGTTCGGAATGATTATAATACTACTTTATATTTAGTTTTTTCTTATCAATCTTCAACAACCACCTCCCTCGCTAGTGATGCCCTAATAAATGTCGATAAATTTCATCCTCCGTTACTTATACACTTGAACCTTGCCGTAAATTATTGTAACTCGTCACATGTAGCAAATGAGTATTACTATGATTACAAATTCGCAGATTTTCGATCCATTGAACATTATCTGGGATTAATTCAGCGGAATTCACTATTCTTAAACAAATCACTTGATGAAATGGTAAATATTTTTTATGATTTTGTGTATACTGTCATTCATTTATTTGTACCATTGAAAAAATTATCCACTCGACGATTTCGAAGATGGTTTTTACCTGAACTGAAAAATCTCATAATTCTAAAGAAAGACACACCTTAAATTTAAATTTAGTGGATCTACTAGTGACTACTTAGTATTCTCTAACTTACGCTATCAATGTAAACATAAGTCTAAATAGGATTACAATGATATTAAAACATTCTGGAATTTTGTCAATTCAAAAAGAAAAAGTAATGAGTTACCCAATGAAATGTATTATAACAACACTGGATGCTCTATGGGCACATATTTATCTATTAAATGAATATTCTTTTCCTACATTTTTATATGTTGATATAGTTCTAGTAAAAATAACCATGTCATCTCATCATTTGTTTTTAATAAATATATATATATATATATATATATATATATATATATATATATATATATATATATATATATATTCCACCACAAACGCCCCATACTGAATTTGAACATTTTTTTGAATCTTTGTGTTCCTTAAATTTATTATATAACAGTTTCTTGTTAGTTATCGGTGATTTTAATATCAGCAAATATGCGGAATATCTTAGTAACGGCAAAAGTAACAAACAAATTTCAATAATCAATGACTTCTCCCAACTTTTTAATTTATCTCAGTCTAACTTTATCTTTAATGATAATAATAGGCTATTAGATCTAGTCTTCTTTAATGATAAATGTCTAGTAGAAAAATCGCTTGATCCATTTGTAGTGGAAGATAAACACCATCCTGCTCTGGACATCACTTGTTACTTCGAAGTAAAAACTAACCGTAAAAACAATCTGGAATCGTCCTTTGAAAACTGTTATAATTTAAAAAAAGCCAATTTTCCACTAATGTACAATTTAATTTCCAGTATTGACTGGGCATTTTTAGAAGCCTTTAATAATGCAGAAGACGCTTGTACATACTTTTATGGAAAGTTATATAATATTCTTGATAAATGTTGTCCCAAATATTCCTGCAAGCATCAAAACAAATATCCAGCGTGGTTTAATAGAGAAATAATCAATCAGTTACGAGTTAAAACTAATATGTGGAAAAAATACAAACGAGAAAATGATTTAGAAGCCTTTGAAGACTTCAAACGCATAAGAGCTGCTTTAAAATTAGAAATAGACATTTCTTACAGAACATATATTAAAAAGACTGAACAAGAGATATCTAGTAATCCAAGTAAATTTTGGGCATTTATAAATAGTAAGAAATCACAATCCAAATCCCCTCAAATAATGTCTTATGACAACAAATCACTAAAAACTCCATTAGATATTCTCAATGGATTTGCTGACTTCTTCAAACAGTCCTATATTACCTCTAGCCCGTTTATTGCTAATTCAAATTCACGACTCAATGTTCCGTTCCTTAATGTCAATTGTTTTACCGAAAAAGAGGTATATGAAGCTCTAAAGTCTATTAAACCTAAAAAGACAACTGGTCCAGACCATATTCCAGCTTTTATTTTAAAGGATTGTGCCTTTCAACTTGCTCCTCCGTTAGCCACCCTCATAAATATATGCCTCAAGACATCAACAGTTCCAGATATTTGGAAGACCTCAAAAGTATGTCCAGTTTTCAAAAAGGGGGATAAAAGAGATATAACCAATTATAGAACAATATCCATAATATGCAATTTCTCCAAAATATTTGAAATTTTATTGGAGAAAACCTTATATCATTATGCAAGTAAAATGCTATCAGTCAATCAACATGGGTTTATGAAAGGTCGCTCAACAGTTACCAACCTGGTTACCGTCACACAATACATTGCTGAATCCATTGATGAGCGCGCCCAGACTGATGTCATCTACACAGATTTCTCAAAGGCATTTGACAGACAGTATTCTTCTTGGAAAACTTACAGGGTTTGGGTTGTCCCCCCCTTTGATAAATCTCTTTCAGTGCTATCTAGTAAATCATACTCAGTTTGTACAGTTTAATGGGTTTAAGTCTGTCAAATTTGCAACAACATCTGGAGTTCCTCAGGGTTCCATTCTGGGCCCGTTACTATTTAATATTTTCATCAATATTTCGAGTGTAATTAAAGAGCAGTTTTTACTGTATGCAGATGATTAAAAATTATACAAGCGTGTGACAAGTATTGGCGACTGTGAACAACTTCACATGAACTTAAATCTAGTGGTTGAATGGTGTAATAATAATAAACTTGAACTTAATCCAATTAAATGTAAAGTTATGTCTTTTTCTCTAAAAACCGACCAAATAAAGTATAATTATTTAATAGATAATGTCTCACTTTAGCGACCAGATACTTTTACAGATCTTGGGGTAATTTTTGATCCCGGATTGACCTTTATATGTCACATAGATAAAATGATTGAAAAATCGTATCGTATGTATGGTTTTATAACTCGCTGCACCAGGGATTTCAAAGATGTAGCCACATTAAAAACGTTATATTACTCTCTTATAAGATCAAAGCTTGAGTATGCGTCTGTCGTCTGGAGTCCATTTTACCAACTTCACACGGATCGAATTGAAGCAGTTCAAAGGCGGTTTCTAAAATTACTGTGTTTAAAGGAGGACGGTGTTTATCCCCCAATCGGAATACCAAACCAAAATCTTCTTCAAAGATATCACTTTTTAAGCCTCATAAAAAGACGTGAATACCATTGTTATGTGTTAGGTTTCAAAATTGTTAACGGTTTAATTGATTCTCCTGAACTGTTGAGAAAAATTGATATCTGCATTCCGAGAGTATCCTCTAAAAATTCTAACATATTTCACATATCTGTACCTCGCACAAATGTTCTGAAAAATTATCCATTTCATACTATTAGCCGCGTTGTGAATAGTGTGAGTAGTGACATTGATATCTTCTCATGCAAACTCAGGGAAATAAAATGTCATTTCCTAACATAAAAAAAAATTGTATTGTATTTTACCTACTAGCTGTTTACTAATTTTTGTATATTTTGTACCACTTAGTCTATATAATGTATGTGTTCTTTTATTCCTGCTCTGTAATTGGGATTGCCTGTAGAGCATTGTAATAAATAAATAAATAAATAAAATAAATTTGTTTCAGAATTACTTTAGCTTTACAAATTATGCAAATGTCACTCAACAAAATACTCCCGAAATACCAGGATTTTGTTTCGTGAAATGTGGACTCAATTTCCAAAGAACCAACAAAATGTTCTCAAAAAATTCTCACCTCTTGTGGTATTACCCTTGATAATTTTGTACTTTTTAAATTAGAGTATGAACTCATTGAATCATGAGAAAACAAATGTATTCTAACAGTTAAAATTTGGATTTGTCCAAGGCAAATATTTAATTCAAATAAAATATCACATACTCACCTCATCAAAATACATTACCAAATTATCTTCACACTTAATAGAGGTATAAGAATTGCCAAACTGACAACTCATAATTCTATGTGAAGTAACTATAGGAGAAAAAGTTTGTACTATTATATTAGGATCTACTTTTTTTTCACAGGAACCCTAAAAAAGACCAGTAAAGTTTTTATTTGATTAAATAAATTTTCAATTTTGTTATATAAATTTTTCCTTTTACCTAATTTAAAGTTGTAAAATGTAAAACAAAAATATTTTTCTTACTTTTGGCAAAAGTTCCTGCTCTATGGCAAAATTATTCATATGATCTACAAATGCTTCATTATATTTCGTATGAATTATATCGTTTAAATGGTCAAATATTAACAAACAATTCATTTTGTTTTATAAAAATAGAGATTAAAATAAATTATTGATTTTTGAAATTTGACTTCTTATAGGTTATGTGTTATGTTTTGTTTTTGTCTCACTCTTACCAGTGTTGTCAGAGCACTCTGCTTAAGGAATGTAATAGATGAAAACACTCAAAATTGTAATAGATTTCAAGAAAATGTAATAGAAATTTTAGTCAACGTAAGTGAATTAAACATACATAAAAAAATTGAATTCATTGTATTGATAAAACTTTTTAATATACATTTATAGGTACTTATTTATTGATAACAATGACAATTGTTCAATTAAGGTCTATCCATATCAGCCGGACAAGGCACGGTCAAGTCACGGTCACGGTCCCGATCAAATCTTTTTGAAAGCATTCACACTGCTTTGTGATTCACACTATCGGGTTGGGTTATGGCATCGTCATATTGGAACCAGTGTTGCCAGTCTAGTACAATTGTACTAGATCTGGTACATTCTCTGAGAATCTGGTACTCTAGTACACTCGAAATAATATCTAGTACTTTTTTTAGCGTATGTTTCCATTTGAAGTGTAAAATATATTGATCAAAAATTGCAAGAGAAATTAAAATAGTTGTTAAAAATTACTTCAGAGATAAAATAGTAGACATTTCTCGAGAGATAAAACGTTGTTTAAAAATTAAATATTGTTCAAAAATGGCTTGAGAGGTTAAAAAAGGGTGTTAAAAATTGGTCGAAGTATAAAATAGTATTAGAAATTGCTTGAGGGGAAAAATATTGTTCAAATATTGCACTAGGGATAAAAAAAACTGTTAGAAATTTAATGAGAGATAAAAATATTTAATAATTTTTCCATGTTATTAAATAGTATTATAAATTGTTAAAATCGTGTTTAAAAATTGCTCGAGGTAAAATAGTATTACAAAATGGAAAAGCCTTGTTCAAAAATTGCTCGAGGGATAAAATACTATTGAAAAATTTGTTGAGAAATAAAATATTGTTCAAAATTGACTCAAGAGATACCTACTATTAGAAATTTCTCGAGACATGAAACATTGTTTAAAAATTCCTCGATCGATAAAATCGAGAAAATGCTCGAGAGATAAAATATTGTACAAAAATTGCTCGAGATATAAAACATTGTTAAAAATTTATCAAGAGTTAAAATATTTTTATAAATTTATCGAGAGTTAAAATATTGTGCAGTTTGCTAAAGAGATAAAAAAGTTGTTAAAAATTGCTCGAGAGATAGGATAATGTTAGAAATTTATCGAAAGATAAAATATTGTTTAAATATAGCTCAAGAGATAGAAGGTTTAAAAATTGTTCGAGAGATAAAATAGTATCATAAGTTATTAAAATCTTATTCAAAATTACTCGAGAATTAAAAAATACTGTTAAACATTTTTCGAGAGATAAAACATTGTTTAAAAATTGTTAGAAAGATAACAAATGTTAATAAAAATTGCTCGAGAGATAAAATAGTGTTAGAAATTATTAAAATTTTGCTCAAAAATTCCACGAGAGATCAAATATTGTTCAAAGTTAGCTTGAAAGGTAAAAAAAGACTGTTAAAAATTGCTCGAGGGATTAAATAGTGTTAAAAATTGTACAAACATTGGTCGAGGGATAAAAAAAGTTGTTAAAAATTGCTCGAGAGATAGAATACTGTTGGAAATTTATCGAGAGATAAAATATTTTTTAAAAATAGCTCAAGAGATAAAAAAGGTTTTTTAAAAACTGTTCGAGAGATAAAATAATATTATCAAGAGATGTTAAATCTTTTTCAAAAATTGCTCGAGAGGTAAAATAGTGTTAGAAATTGTTCAAATTTTGCTCAAAAATTGCACGAAAGATCAAATATTGTTCAAAAATAACTTAAAAGGTAAGAAAAAGGCTGTTAAAAATTGCTGGAGTGATTAAATAGTATTAAAAATTGTACAAACATTGCTCTAGGGATAAAAAAAGTTGTTAAAAATTGGTCGAGAGGTAGAATACGGTTAGAAATTTATCGAGAGATAAAATATTGTTTAAAAAGAGATAAAAGAGTATCAAAAGGTATTAAAATCTTATTCAAAAACTGCTCGATATAAAATAGTGTCAGAAATTTGTCGAGAGATAAAATTTTATTTAAAATTGTTGTGTTTGTATTCTCTATAAACCTTTTTTTGCTCTTTAATGACCATACTTCATAATTAGAAAAATCTGGTAATTTTATAGAATCTAGTACATTTTTAATAAATCTGGTACATTTTTTAGATAAATCTGGTACATTACAAAAATATATTCTGGCAACACTGATTGGAACAGTTTTGAGTTTTGTTTCAACCAACAGCAGGCAATCGTGCATGAGTGTTTTTTATTTTGGATGCGGAAGAAGAATAGCAAAAAATATAAAAAATAAATTTTGGGAATCGATTTCCTCAGCTAAAAAACTTTCAATATGTTTAAGATCGTTTTCAGATGAAAATTTTTTTACAGCAGCCATTTTAAAGAAAATCTAAACATATGCATGTAATCACTGTCTTTTTCGATACTACCGACAGCCCGCTTTTTTGTCTGACTGGTTGTTGCAGGGACCCGGACCGAAATGAAATTGACGGTTCGGTTCTTATCACATTTAAAAAAATCCGGTCCGGTACGGTTCCGGTTCTCAAAAAAAAATTTCGGTTCGGTTCTACCAATTTTTTTTCGGTTCGGTTCAGTTATTTCGGTTTTATTGATTTTTTATAGTAGGTATGTACAGGGTTATTCACTATAAATTACCCACCCCTTATTATCGTTATTGCATATTGAAAAAAAAAGTTTCAAATAAAAGTTGTGTGGTTATAACTGTTTTTTGTTAAAATTCTATCAAATTTACAGTAGCGTGCAGATTTTCGGGGATACCTTGTATATTTTTACATTTTTATAATCTTCTCAACGAGCTGATTTCAACGATGGATCACACTTGATGTCTAATCTGGATAATAACCATATCTACATCAGCCACCTGAAAAATCACATTTTTTTTTACTCAAAAGTCAGATGAGATTTCCAATTTCCAAAAATGTGATTTTTCATGTGGCTGTAGATCCTTTATTATCCAGATTAGACATCAAGTATGATACATCGTTGAAATCAGCTCATCGAGAGGATTATAAAAATGTAAAAATATACAGGGTATCCCATTTAAAAAATTTATTATTTGTATCCCCTGAAATCTGCACGCTACTGTACATTTGATAGCATTTTAACAAAAAACAGTTATAACCACTCAACTTTTATTTGTGACTGTTTCTATAGGCAATAATAACGATAATAAGGGGTAGGTAATTTATAATGTATAACCCTGTACAATCTGACAGGATAAGATTGACTTGTAAAGGCCAAATGCCCAATAGTATGAACGTATTTAAGGCCTATTAGAAAGACAATATATATTATGTAATTATATATTCCGTACAGTTTTATGAAAAAGACACAAGAACCGAAAAAAAACCGAAAAAATTCATTTTTATTTCGGTTCGGTACGGTCCATAAAAAATATTTTTAATATATTATCGGTTCGGTTCCGGTCCATCTAAAACATTTCGGTTCCGGTCCGGTTTTCGGTTAATAACGGTTCGGTCCGGGTCCCTGACTGGTTGGTCGTTGAGCATCCACACTAGACGGTTTGCGCGTCAACGGACAGTCACAGTCCGATCAAATATTGTTGGAAATTATCGGCCCGTGACTTGACCGTGGCTTGCCGAATCAAAGTATGTGAGCACGGTGGAGAGGGTAAAATTAATTAATAAAAAATTAATAAAAATTAATAAGAATTAATAAAAATGAATAAAAATGAATAAAAATGAATAAAAATGAATAAAAATGAATAAAAATGAATAAAAATGAATAAAAATGAATAAAAATGAATAAAAATGAATAAAAATGAATAAAAATGAATAAAAATTAATAAAAATTAATAAAAATTAATCAAATTAATAAAAATTAATAAAAATTAATAAAAATTATAAAAATTAATAAAAATTTAAAAAAAATTTTTCTCGAGTAACGAACTGTTATTCACTTTTAATAATTGAGTTTTGAGATGTTCCAGCAAAGCGGGATCGGGTCAGCTAGTGAATAAAATAAAAACAAGATAAATAAATCAAGATTTATTTTATAGTATATTACATTACGAGTGTGGAAAATCACTTTTCACACAAGTGATGTACAATATTTTTCCTACGACCACAAAATAATTTCATAAAAAAATGTAAAACCAAGTCATTATTATAATAATTAATTTTTTTTTTTTAAAATAATCAACAATAATCGTATTTATTCAATTTTCATATTTTCTAAACAAAAAAAAAAAACTAAAAAACAAAAAAAATTCTGCCTCCGCAAGGATTTGAACGCGGTCCTTAGCCAGGTCTCAAATGGCAAAGTTAATAAAGTTAGAGTCAACCACCTGAGCTAATAGCCCTTGCGTCAATTGAATGATCTAATCGGTTATGTGTTTAACCAGAACAAAAGCAAATATAACTTAGTTATTTTAAAATTATTTTAATAATAATTGTCAAAGATAAATATCTAGGATCTAATTTACAACAATTTCAATAATTTAACAATCATATCGATTTTAGTATTAATATGGACATTACATAGATCAAAATAGAAATGATGCGTTTGACATTTTGTGACAGCTGATGCGGAAAGTAGCATATTCGCACACGGGTGGAAAGTAAATTCTTATTCATACGCGTGTGATATAGGGCACTTTCCATAGGACTATATAGTGTGATATGTGTCACTTTCCTAAGTGGTCGTAGGAAAAACAAATTTACGAATCCAATTTTGGAATTAATTTGCTTCACAAATTGGTATAAACCTACGTTAGTGCTAGGCGTTACGTTTTTATATTTAAAAAAGAAAATATTCGTTTCTAAACAATAATACTTTTTCATTTATAGGTACTTCTTATTCTATTTTTTCTTGAAATATCCAACTTTTTTGTGGTCTCATAATGAATGCGAATATTGAAATAATATTTTAATATCAGCTTTATCAAATCTAGTGCGTGATTTTCAAAAATATTTCCATCAAAAATCTGATCTCCAAAAAAATTAATGTTAGATTTTAAGGTTTTTA